CAACCTTATAGACTGTCTTCTGCTTCCGAACTAGGTTTAATCCTTTGAATCTGCGTTGAACATTCGCTATCTGATGCTTCAATTCTGCCTGCTTTTTTGATTTCAGATCGAAGATGGGTCTCAGAGCAGCGACCACCTTGTTGATGATCTCGAAACCGACCTCGACCTTGAAAATGATTGCGATGGATTGCTTGAAATTGAGAGTAACCACCTCGAAGAAAGCGATACTTTCCCCGACGACTCCCGAGGAAAATGTTTGATGCCTCCTGCTTCGGGAATGGAGTTCGACTCTTACGATGATGCCTACAGTTACTACAATTCCTACGCCAGGGAGCTCGGTTTTGCTATCAGAGTCAAATCTTCATGGACCAAGCGTAACAGCAAGGAGAAACGTGGTGCTGTCCTCTGCTGCAACTGCTAATGATCATTCAAGCCATCATCATTGCTAATGATTCTTTTTCATTGTCTCTTTTAGGGAGAAACAAACTTCTTGAGATAATACAGTCCATTGGAAGCTAATGTGCAAAAGATATTGCGATCAACTTTAAAATGGTAGACCTAAGTTTCCAAGTTTAGCCTACTTCATTGTAAGAATAAAACAATAACATAATTTGGTCCTTTTGGAGCTGGCATCATAATTTGGTATTAAATTAATTTGTGTGTTTTTATTTGAATAATGTTCATCGATATCATTAAACATTTCTCTTTTTCGGTTTTTCAAACAAAATTTTTTTTATCATTAATATCCTAAATGATTGTTAACAAAAAAACATAAGTTGGGTAGTAAAACATTTTTAGTTGAGAGTCTTTTTGTCAGAGAAATAATATTTCTTTATATAAAAAAACATTGTTTCTGATTCTTTTCATACGTGAATGCTTTTTTTATACATAAAAAACATATGCTCTTATCATTACTCCTAATGAACATAAACATAACACGTCTGATATGCTGGATACTCCATATGATAGAAAAAAGATTGGCGAACTTTGAATTAAAAATTGAAGAGAAAGTTCAAATGGTTGCTAAGATCAACGAATCAATTTTAGCACCCTGTATTATCTTTATTTTCTCGAACTCGGTTTAACTTTACATTTGCAAACTAATTCAATGTTTCTCTTTTGATTTATAAAAATATTTTTTTAACATTTAAAAAAAAATTATAATCTATTATTATTTAATAAATTTTCTTTTGCAATAGATTTGTTTCTCAAATTTTTTAATAGTTTTCTTATAAAGAATTTAGAGATTAGTATTTAGATTTTATGACCATATCTACTTTCAGTAAAACAAAAGTAATATTTTATTTTAAAAACACATTTATATATATAACAGAAAAAAAGCACGGGTAATAATACTAGTTAGGTATTAAACTCTAAAACGCACCTTCTAAATTCGGAAAGCCACAAACAAGGAGTTAGAAATGACTGTACGATCAGATTATTACATAGAAACCCTCAAAGATCCAACGGTCAATATTTTAACACATAACGATAATCATCATTTTAGTAAAAACTAATCATCATTCTCTCTCCCAATATTCAAAAAAGCGCGTTAGGCGCTAAGTCCTAATACCTAGAAAGCCTAATCGGAGTATAAGCGATTCAATAGGCGGAGTAAACGCTTTACAAAAATACATAATATATCAAAAATATATATAGTAAGAAAAAATATATGAAAAGATAATTTATGAATAAGAAAAT